AATGCGAGGAAAAGAAAACTTTTATGTCTCCTAGTCACGTCACCATCTGTGTTTAGTCTGTAAATAATTCACCGTTATCGACCGGAAACAGCAAGGTCCGTTTCTAACTCTAATAGAAGAGCGCAGAATAGAACCCAATTTATCTAAAAGGAACCCAATTTATTTTCCAAACACAACAGATTTTATGACACTCTTATCGACTTAGGTCTCACCAGACGCGATGCAAACACTGATAAAATAGATCTGGTATTAGGAAAAAACTGAACGTGGGTCTTATTTAATTCTATTTACTTGTATATATTCAACATCAGGAAGATTGGTTCTAATATTTGGCGTCACTCATGTCAGAGTATCTTGGAATAGCCATCAAACGTACCAATCTGCCTAATTATTTATATTGATGCTTGCAGGATATACTTGAACGTGCACATTTCCATATAAATGAGGCGGCATCGATATGCTACGAGATATCCTGAAAACTATTTGGCATTTTCTGAATGTATGTAATTTTATGATGCGTGTTTATGCAAATAATAACGAGGGCGGATAGTTACCTACAGTATATTATTAGACATGTGTTTCTATCTCAAACGATAAATGATAGTGATACAGACCACAAAAAATATAATGTCTGTCTAAGCTGAAGTCAAAATTATTGTAATACAATTCAGTATCCTGAGTCATGTAAACATACGGCATAAAATACAAAAAGATCTTCATTTTTCGCTTCTTTTTTAACTGTTCTGGGATAAAACATTCTTTATTTAAAGTTCGATAACAGGTAAAATAACTTGTCGTTTTGTTGCAAGAGGTTTTTTTTTAAATCACACTAATTCAAAAACGACATAAACGTACCATTAGGCATGTTAAATATCAGCAGTGGATGCTTTATGAGTCAATTAGCGCAAAACTACTGACTTTTCTAACTGCTCACTGAATGGCAATTTTGTTTTATAAAGATATGCAATGGAACTCATATCATGTTGCATCCATACAAAATTAATATGTAACCGTTCATTTTATTAAGCACTGTTTTTGAAGTCACTTGTACAGATATAACTACAGGAATAATGCCACTTAGCCCCCTTTTTAAATAAAGTCAGTAAAAATGATGTATATGCTCGCCCATATGGATCGTTCATGTGGTGAGGGTAAACAAACACAACACAGTTATCTTAATGTATTCATTATCATTTGTGTAATTTCCAATATCATCTGCTTGAATGTCCACGACTTTTATTGTCAGGATAATCTGACTGAAAATTTCATTAACTGAAGTGAATTTAATCATCATCTTTTTTTTAAAACATCTTTTTAATTCATTTATATTTGTTAATGCATTCATTTTTAATTTATATATTCGTTCTACTTATTTATCTCTATGCAGCTGAACATTTATTTTTATCAATTAAACAACTGTCTTAAAAAATAATTGACCAATAAATCTGACGATCATCAAAGGTGTTTCCCTCAGCAAGCAATAATTAGAATTTCTGTTGCAATATTTCCGTTTAAATTTGAACTAGATTTCTTAAATGATATAAAATTATTCAAACTTTATAGTTTTGCTGCTGCCTGCTCCATTGAAAATAAGTGAATTTTTAAAGTAAAAACCTACGTAAAATCATTTTCCATGTAATGCCTTCAAAGAAATGTTTTTGCGACAACTTTTCGGTTCTGTTTTTTCCCTTTTTTACATTGTTTTTCCCTATATTGTGACTTATTTAAACCCAACACAATTTAAGGCTTTGCTAAAAGGGGAAAAAACGATTAAAAAATTTTAAAACGGGGGCCCTTTGCCCTTAAAACTTTTAAATGGGTTTCCCAATTTTATGGTAAAAAAAAATCAATCCTTTCCTTTTTCCTTCAAATCAGGTTTTAATTGAAAGGGAAATTTTTGAATTTCTCCCTTGATTTCCGCCGGCACCCCCTTAACTTTTTTGGACTTTAAGCCATTTTTAAGAGGTGCCAAGTTTCCAATCAGGGCCGTATATCCCAGTTGCTTTTAAAGAAATGAAAAAGTGAGGGGTTTTTGGGAAACGGTATTTTGCATTTACAAACCTTTAAAACGGGAAAAAAGGTTTTTTTTCTTTTATGTTTAATTTTGTCGGTTCTAGACTGCCTTTAAAATTTTCACTCTGTCTATCTTAGTGAGTTGTTTCGTTCGGCTTCAATATTGTTTTCCTAGTAACATGACTGTTACCTATTGGAAATGGAGAACACGTTATTGATTACTTGCCCTTAATCATGCAAACGAACGAAGTTAATGTGTTTTCTGTAAATGGCCCAGATGTAAAACTAATCTCCTGTACCAACCTGATAAAGTGATGGTATTTGTTGCAACATAATGCAATATTCAAGGATACGAATGAGAAAACTACATATTAGAAAAAACAGAACAATCCTATTTTACAAGGATGAAAGGGGAAAGGAAATGAGAACCGGTAACATGTCAGATTGGACGCTGAGAAATGATGAAATGATCGAGATAAAGCAATGTATCATTTCATATATGATTGCTGATTCACGTGTTATAGAATTCTGAATTGTAGATTAATTTGTTTTTCTGTCCTGAAGGGTGTTTCAGGTACAACTGTTTTATTAAACGTTTGCCTGTGTTCTCCATAAATTAGATCTCTTTTGCTTTAAAGATTTTTGGTTTTTTATCTTGCCACGGACAAGGTATTTACTCATATGTTCGATAAACGTAATATGAGTCATACATTATATATTTATAAAGTAACATCTGTCATTTTGTTAAACAAATAATAATTTAATTTATACCTTGAATAGAAAACCTGTAAAGGACATTTTAGTTTAATGCATTAAATATGAATACTGCATTATTTTTAACTAAACAGTGCGTTTTCATCAGTGAAAACATCAATATACTGGGGACATGTGTATCTTAGCTCTATCACTCTGTTTATGGGATAATCATTAATTATTTGAATAAAAACATGCACTCACTTTCATCATTGCTCTTTAAAGACAATACGCAAACCCAGGTATCTTTATTACGCACCGAATGGTATAGAACGACTTCAGAAAATAAATGTTTCTGTGTAGAATGATGAATCTTTCAGTCATAATGACAAAATCAACATTAGAAATTTTGTAATGTACAAACGGAAATTGTGCAGACAGTCCACAGTTGCTTTAATAAATCAGTGCCTTTAAGCTACTGTGAGTTCGTGTAGTGAAAGAAACCGTTAGAATTATCGGCAATACATTAGTAAAGTTTTATGTTTGTATCCTTTATAACTTTATTTGTGTTAAGATTCTGAACTTTCTGATTTTGAAGATTTCAAAATTTCTATTGTTTAAAGTGTTTAAGATTTCATACATTATTAATTTGGGATTTCAAACTTTTAAGATTTTAAACCGCCATTGCTTTATAATTAAACATAAATTTTTAGACTGGTCAAAGGGGATTAAGTTTTTTTTGTGTTTGATTATTTATGTGCAAAATACATTTGAACTGCTAGAACTTTAAAAGTTTAAAAAAACCTATAACTATTTTGTATTGTCTCTGGAAAAAATTAAATTTAAAAAAAAAGTAAAAATTTATATCTGACCCGCCCCGGGCAATTTACTGACAAATTTTTTATAGTTTTTTAAAACCCCTAAAATAATGCATTTCACCCCCGTCAAAAACCCCACAAAAAACTGATTTTTAAAAAATGAAATAACTTTAAAACGCCCAAAAAGTACATATTTATTTTTACGCCCCAGGGTTCCAAATTTTTCAATATTTTATAGACTTTTAAAATTTAAAACTAAATTGAAAGTAAAAGGGAATTTAAAAGAAAACCCTCCTGAAGCACCGCCCAAAAAAGAAATTCTTTTTTAACATTTAGTTATTAACAACTTAGCTGGTAGTGACGAAACTGTATAGCTTACTATTACATTGTGTATACAATTGTAAGAAACATTAATATATTTATTTGTATTTTTTAGTTTTTTTATTGTAACAAATTGATTGCAAATGACTAATATAAAAGTGTTATTATCTTACGTTGATAGTATCATAACGCGGAACAAAGTCTTCGTTAAGTATTCAAGGTGGAATTAAAGGGGAGATAATGTGATTAATTATACGACATAGAAAATGTATAATTTATAAGGATTGATTGATTCACACTCCTGTGAAGGTATTTGTATGCACACACCTGCTAGAGTTTGAAATAAAGATTGAATTAATTGATTTGCATTCACTAACCTTCAATAAGCAAGTTACTAACACGTCGGTAACGCCTTAAAGATTATAGATTTATTATGGTGATAATGGTGTAATGAAAGTGATAATGTACAAATGTATCAATAGGCACTTGTGTATTGTGTATTTGGACTACTCATTACATATACTAGATTTCCGAATTTTAACCGAAATTACTTAAAACTTGTCGGAAAGCATTTAATTATAAGTTAAAACAAGGATTTACATCATTTAAGGTAGATTATATCATGCAATCATTGGCATTTTACTAAATATATCAGGAGTAGTTTTTTTCTCTAAATAGAGGAAGGAAAAGATTAAAAATATGTTTAAGGATTGTGTTTTATATGTTATTTTAAAGAGATAAAAATATTAAAAATTAAGGTTTTCAAAAAAAAAATATAAGAAAATATAATTACTTTTCAATTTATTACCTTTTTTATAAATATAAAAATATTTTTTATTCCAGGGGTTATTTTGGGGATTTACTCATTTCTTCCCATAGTTTTTAAAAGAAATTATTTCCCACGTATGATGCAAACTCACTGGAGTTCAATACATTTTTTTTATAAAACAATATACGATAGTTAAAATGAATGTTGTATCATAATTACGGATTGCACGTCGCTAACAATAGCAGGACTATTTTGAGTATTTTCCAGATCGATCTGCGATGATACGTTCCGACATGGCCCATTTGGTTATTGATAATAAACTGTCGAGTCATTTTGAAACAGGCTGATATTTTAAATAAACTTAATTTCATAAAATGTATTTTCAGACCAAGCTGGTAGAAGATAGATCGAGGCTCGATGTTGGCGACTAAAAGATCATGGACCTTTCTATTGCATTATTTCTAGGATGGATATTAACATGGCTATCACTTGATATCGTAAATGGAAAGAGTAAGTGCAAGTTAATGATATACATATTTAGTTACTTACCTTTTCTCAAATACATAGTAGTGAAAATGTAAAACTAAATCATTTCATTTATTATCGTCATCCCTAGATGTAAATTTTTTTTATTTTTGAAGGCATACATTTTGAGAAGGAACGCAATTTTCCTAATATATAAATACCCCTTTCCTAGATTGACATTTATTTTGTGTCAACCAGGCCTTTATCAGGGGTGTCTTCCGTTAACTTCGCTCCCTCTTGTTGATTTTTGTATAAATATTTTATCTACGCTAATACTTACAGATCTTTATTCATGCTGTTATCCCAAAAATGGATAACTTAATATTCATGTCAGTTTGTACTTATACATTGTTTACCTTTTATAAGAAAATAAATCTGAAAATTCCTATATATATATTTTTATTCTCTGAAGCTGATGTTATCACTCCTCCGCCTGAAACAAACATCATTACGTTATCTTCCCCGCTCCCAAATGTGTCTATTTGTAAGAAAATTCGATATTTATCACCATAGGGATTACAATAAGTAAAGGTCTAGTGCGTAGCCATAGTTTATTTATATTAAAAAAAACGTCCATTTTCTCCTTATAAGAGACATTGAAAATCTAAAATTATCTCAACAATTAAATGGACTTTTAAGATATCCTTAGACAAAGGTTTCTATGGTAAAGTTTGATACAGATATAACTATATATTCACTGTCAGGTTCAATTACGAAACAGTTGACATCTGACTGGGTGTTATCTGGGTGTTATGTTGAAGCGTTCTGGCATTCCATTTCCTGGCTGTTAGTTTGATTTCTAGAGTAAGGTGGTTATTTGTATCTTTGAAAATAAATTTGGGTGCATTGATTTGTAAATCAATCCTTTTCCTCTTAACATCCTATATCCCAAATGTATGGAAAGGTCACGAATTGGCTGGTTCAGATTTTACTGAGAAAATGTGTTAATGTTGTGTCTGAGAACACCTTTTTGAAAATATGGTAGACAAAATGTGCTCACTTTATGTTTAAGGAGTTACTAATTTACTTTAATTTTTTTTATTGGAGGGGCTTTTTGTAATTGATGTAGTATAAAACAGAAAATCATATAATTATGTATTTTGTTACTTGTTTTTTTGTAGTTTGTCGGTGGCATTTAATGTTGCCATTTCAAATTATTATTATTATTATTATTTAATTATTATTATTATTATTATTATTATTATTATTATTATTATTATTATTATTATTATTATTGTTGTTGTTGTTATTAGACTAATAACAAATTCTGTTTTTGTTGGCAAGAAGACATTAAATGATCGATCTAAAAAACATATGACTGATATATACACGTACTTGTGTTTCTGTGTGCTAAATACATTGTTAAATCACACAGTACGAGTTAATTTTGTTCTGAAATACTTTATGAAGTAACTTGCAACGTACCTTATATATCATAACAAATTTTGAAATTAAAATGTCAAATATCCGATAATATGTCTCCATTGTGGTCACATCAAATTATTTCGGCAATTACTGTTACTGGTTAAGAAAAATATAGTAGAGTTTAAACGAATTTTCAAAAGTTAAAGGTATGAAAAACACACATAATATCCACTCAATGCTTGTATGAATTATTTATTTCTATAGATCTGCTATCAGTTTGCAGTGACTGCATGCATGCTACCTGATCAGAGTTTCATCATTAATATATTACTAGAATAATCTCTTCCATGCATGACCCGGCTTGTAATTCATTCTAGCACGTGGAATCATAACATTAAAAGAATTAAATCGACGTGTAAAGTCAGACTAAATAATGCCTTTTATTGATAATCAATTTTTTATTAGTATTAAGGTAATTGATAATTATTTTTTTCAATTACAGTGTTTTCAATTGCAGTGCAATAATATCAGATGTACCCGCATTGGTCATATCAAACAATTCCCGGCATGCTTTTGTGCTTTCAAATCACAAAGTATAAAAATCATAAAGTATACATGTACAATGTATACATTGTATACATGTAAAGTCTTATTTAATTTAATACATATGCAGAATCGCGAATTTAGTTGCTAAGACTAAGATAGATATATACAGTGTATAGAAAATATAATATGAATCTTATTTCTAGTTTCATGTGTATTTATTTCGCCTACAAATATATTGGTATTGGTATTTTATGAAGAAAATTCGAGTACGTTATAATAGTACATAGGTTCAATGGGAAAAGAATAAAGCGCTGCGGGTCAGTATTTTATATTTTTTGACAAAAACAGGCGTAGTATGGGCCTCTAAGGAAAGAAACCGTTTTATTGCCGTACCGATGCACGAAATATCGGGAAATGACGGCTATCCGAGGATTTAGTACATATTTTGGTCGATAAAACAATATAAATGTCTACTGTAAATAACATACGGGGCAATCGCTTAAAGGTATAACTGGCGTGGTAAAGTAATTATGTCTACAGCACACTATTTTCTCTGAGAATATATAGTTGACAGACTTTAGTATGCTAGTCTTACAAAATGTAAAAAAAAAAGTGTGAAAGATAACAGCCTCTGCATTATGCTAGCAACCGGGGAGAATTTGAATCAAATTGAAAGCAATGCAATTAGTATATTAGTTTTTTGTAAGTTAAGATAATTTTTATAGTTTCGATATCTTTTTTAGAATTTACGGAGAAATTTTAGAATTTACGGAGAAAAACGAGACATTTTGTTTTAAAAATAATAATGTAAATATTAACGAAACAATATGTCGATTTACTATGCTCATAAAAATGTAAATGGCGAGTGTACAGGTATTTTTTCAATTCTATATTTTGCGTCACGAAAATTATCGATAACTGACGTGACACACGTATATTTCTAGAAATAGACTTTGTAATCCATTGGTAAAGTTCAAGTGGGACAGTTATGTTATACATGCATTTTGGCAGATTTTTTTTTATTTTATCCTTATCATTTGACTGTCATTCAAATAATTGGTCAGTAACCATGAAAAAGTCCATTTTTAACATGCTTCGCTAATTTAGCTCATTTTAACAGTAAAAGAAATAAACATTATGTCCCTTTAATGAGAAGAAAACTACTGATTAAAAAAGTGAACGTTTATAAACAACACTGTGAAATGTAACATCGTATATTGTGCAGAATTAAGTAGCTGAAAAAAAATCAATAATTTAAAAGGAGATTAAATTTCCACTTAAAACACGATATAAATTGCGTTGTTATCTGGAGGAAACCTCAGGTGCTCCTTCTAGTTCATTTGTACAGTTACTCACTGTCCGTTACATTTATTTACCCACGTGGGTATTGTCTAAAATGTCACCCAGGAGTGGATTGATACAAAACAAATCAGTTAAGCAAATGGATTAAAACCAAATATCTTAATCGCTGGCTTGGCACTCGAGTACCGAGAGAAAAAATCATTTGAATTAGGTTAAAACGTTATTAACTCTTTTTTTATTACTCTTTCAGAGAGAGTACAAAATTTCATTCAATGATTGAGAAATACGAGTGTTGTGTAACACATCAATAGTACCAAATGAACTTATTACACTCATCATAAAATTACATAGATTACTTACAGTACCATAAAACTTAATCAATTAATGCTTTTTAAAGTTCAGGATTTATTATCTGTATTTTTCTTATCTTTTTATCTATGGTTAATCTATCATTAACATCCTGTTTATACGCATCGAATGAAATGCATCGGTTCAGAGAAAATTATCTATAAACGATAAAGTTAGAAAAATACATCTTGTTTTTTCGGGATCGTTTGCACTTTGTCAATGTTAAAATTCTTGAAAATGGGCGATCCCTAGAAACTAGTGAAAAATGGTATTGCTACATTTTATTTTACTTTTTTCTAATGTCTAGAAAACATTTATTAGGCTAGAGCACCGAGGTGTGATGGATGTTGCACATTCCATTATCTTTCATGAACAACCTTAATCTAACGATGTCTGCGATTTCACCTACTTTCTTTTCACTGTAATTTGTCTAGTGGGGCCTCTCCTTTTCAAAATTCTTATGAAGATATTTATCAATCGATCGCATCGATATTAGAATCACATTTTGAGAAATCAAGTCAGGGTTCATTTAGTACATTGATAACATTATACAAGCTGTAGGGACTAAGTAGTGTTTTGCTTAGAAATGGGAAAATGATGATAAGAATTTCGCATTTATTGGGACTTTAATATCTTATTTCCATGTTATTGTGTTATTATGCAGGTAGCTTTGCTTCAACACTTACTAAATTTTGCAGTTTACTTACCTTGTATTGTTGATATTAGTTAGATATTTATAATCATTTTGAAAGAGATGCTATGTGGTAATTGTGTAAAGGTTACTTCTATCTATGAGCAATGCGCTTCAAAAGGCTCACAACGGTCTCGTCACCACGTGTTTTCTCGACAAATAAGAAAATATATAAAAGCAGTCTTTACTCTCGCAACTGATTCAAATGATTTATTTCTGTAATTTTGTTCTATCACAGCATTCCATTATTACTTATTTGATGACTGAGTTGTGACTGAGGAGTTACTTATAAGAAATGAGCAAATGTTCATCCCTGCGTGATCGCAATAGGCGACTAAATGGGTTCGAATTAATAGAGTCTATGCATCTCTTAGCTTCTAGGTGTTTTAACCAATGGTATTGCCTTAAGTTTGTAACATCTGAGAAAAAGACGTCTTTCTTGTTTCAGGGTCATACATTTGTATAACCTTAATTGTGAAAGTGCGCCGTAAAACCGAACAAAACAAACGAAAGTTAACTGTATATGATTGAAATTCTTATTTGAAATTGGATTGAACCCTGAAGCATTCTATCTATATGCCTTGCTGGACAGTTTCAAAAATATACATATACCTTTTAAGACACAATTTTTATGTAATGTTTCTATTTTTCAGATGGATATGAGGCCAAATTTCCGGCAGGGCACTCGGCTGAAAGGATTCTTATCAAGCACCTTTTGGCCTCTTACGAGAAAAGTGGCGGGAAATTTGGTAGGCCGGTAGCCAATCATACTCACATTGTACCTGTCTGGTTCCGACTTCAACTCATACAAATTGTCGACCTTGATGAAAAGAACCAAGTCTTAAAACTCAACTTGTGGACAAATTATGTAATTTTCATTTTTATACACATAATTTAAATGATGTTGGTACACATAGTGTTATCAAGAAAACATGTGTGCGATTAAAATTTATCAAAGTTAATTTTTTCAAACTTTGATACGATAAACATATACAATACTACGACGATTTGGCAGTTTCAACTTTTCTCTTATGTTAAGATAGACATACAAAATACCCCGACGATTTGCCAGATTCCGCTTATCTTTTTGAAGACATACCTATAGGTCAAATGTTTGTCATACATGCGCCTATGTACTTTTTATCTTAATAAAAGAATTACACAGACATCCTTAGGGAGCCAGTCTGTACTGTACGATAACAAACGGTCACTATCTACATGATTAACGCCATATGTTGACTCAAGAAAAGACCAGCCTTTGTGTGCATATTCTTCAGTTATATAAATTACGATCGATTAAGGATGGAAGTTACCAACCTTTTTTCCAAACATTTACAATGATGTTAGATGATGTTATGAGGGTAATGTCGTTTTGTCAATTCAGACATATAACGATATAAAACTTTCCTTTGATATATGAAATAACTTATCGTGCTTACTTATATTGAGGCAATCCATTTATTTTTTTCCTTTTCCAAAAAGAATCGATTCATTTCTAAAGAGATTGACAATGTTTAAGAGCTATTTATTTCGTCGTGTTTAGAAAAGTATTGAATGATTCTTTGAATGATTCTTTTGATAGTGTGGAGTTGATAACTTCATACATTTTTATTATTATTCAATAGCATAGCAGAAATAGGTTGACATTTTTTTATAATTCATTAAATAAAATCTGTTTTGAGACGTATTTGTTTCATTCTTGGAATAATTTTAGAAACAGAAATGAGTTAACGTTCCATAAAATGCTTCTTTTCCAGAAATGGATTGATGAATTTTTACGATGGGATCCCGACGATTATCAAGGTGTAAAGGAAATTCGAATACCATCTGATCAAATCTGGACACCAGACATTAAACTCTACAACTAGTAAGTAAAACTATGTCATGCCAGCGGACACCTATTCTGTAACATAACACTTTCCTGCCAACTAAAACCCAGCTTTGTCCATATTGCATACTATTCCAATATCCATAGCGCTGATAAACTATTCATATCTTGTATCATGTCTGTTTATCAGATATGAAAATAGAATTTTAAAATTGTAAAGAAAACGATTTAATCGTAAGAAGAGTATAACTGTTATTTTAACAACACAATTTTAAGGTGATTGGAGTTAACTACGATTTCGTGGCATATTTGATCCTAAGATATTTCAAACTTATTACAATTGTTATATGATGACTTTAGATACACTTTTAAACGATGTACTTTTCAGTTTAAACGAATCACAACACTTGTTTAAATAGCATGTTGCACAAAATACACATACACAAAAGTTACCTTTTGTTGTGGTCAGATATATAATTGAATTTATAAAAAAATCGTTTCACTTATTTGTTAAAAATTTCTCTTTAAGCAGTTCTAAAACAAACTTAAACAAAAAATCTGTGTCTTAACACTTGAAAGTTGTGTCTCATTTCTGCATTGTAACGTGGATAATGAATTAATTAGCTACAGTTTAAGAACCGATGTGCACACACAACTATTCAACTTTTTCTTTTAGGATAAACTTGTTTTAATGCTCAGTCCTGTGTTGCGCAATTATTCCTGCGGCAAGGGTAAACACATCTTAACATACTGATTGGGACAAAAAATCACCGAACTATATCAATTGTTATCTCAGATGACATAGGATCAAACATTAACCTAATTACAATGAAACCCTATAATTTATACTATAAGCGCTGTTTTAAATAATACAATGTTGTGCGAATACATTGAACAAACATTTTATATTTTGTATTAATATCATCATAACAAATAATATTATTAAATGCTAGTGAATAGCATAAAATAAAAAAAGCAAATTTACCATCAACATCCATAAAGAACTAAGTATTTTAACTTTTTTTATCAGATCATGCTTTATTTAATTCTTATTCTATAAGCCCCACTCAAATACCATCGCAGGAGTTCTATTGGCCAGTATCCTGTAAGTTCACAAGAAAAGCGTTGATGCAAAGCATCAAAGGGCGTCCATGCAAAAAAATGCAGCAAGTGAAGATGTCCTAGTAGACATCTGATGACCAGATATTCTTATAAACTTTTCAATGGTTAACTGGTTTTTACCAGAATTGTATAATATTTATGAATGGGCGAACGAAAGACATTGTTCATCATGAACTTTGGTAGGCATGCTAGAGATTAGAATATTTTTTTCCACAGGAGCCTGAAAATCTATCAATATTAACGATAATATCCAAAATATACAAGTCTATAATATCCAAAGTGCAAGTAGTTGTTTGAATATGTTTCATATTTCATATTTAATTTCCTGCAAAATTCTCCAGTCCGTTATTTGACCGTTTTGTTAAACTATAACTACTATACTTCTATAAATAGATTTTCGGACTTTCACAATGTTAAGGTCATCATTATATTTAAAGGTACAGCAATACACAATAACCCACTATGTGTACTACAAAATGATGAATAAAAAAATCGCGAAGAGCGCAATTATTTGACGGACAAGATAATTTCGTTTGAATATGTTTGCATTGCGTTTGCTATTCATTGTTCGCGACATTTCATTTTTGATAATCAAACACCCTCATACCAATCGAAATGATCGGCTATTATGACCGACGAAAAGGCCCGAGAAGTTGCTGTCGCCCTTTCACAAAATCTGATTTCATTCCATAAGGGTCGTCGCGCTTCGGCGCGGACGTCAATTTTACTGGTATCACATCACATGCATGCATATCACACACACTACATACGCTGTGTAGGAAAATGATAAAAAAGGTCGATATTTCATTACATGTCAAAATATATTCATAATAACTACCAGACAAATATCTTTAAAATTTTCTTCTCGCTATTGGGTTTTTTAATTTTTTAATACTTTTATGAACTTATGAAATCGCCCTGTCATAAATCTCAGCATTGTTCTCATAGCATTAGAAATGTTTTAAAAATGGTTGTACTAATAAGCATAGAGACCACAAAACCACCGTAAAAACGGAATAATCAATCACTTTTGTGACATCAGTAAGTTTCTCCCGTTTAACGTATGCATTAATTACCATAACGTTTGTATGTGATGTTTTGTCTTGAACCTTGTTCTGTTTGTTGACTTTTGTGATATGTTTGGGTAATGAATGTGGAGTGTATTTTTTAGACAAATTCGAATGTTTTTATTTTTACTTCTTTGTATGTTAAACGGTGTTATGAACGTTAACTCTTTCATATATTTTCTCATTCTTCTTCTTTTATGTCCTCTAAGTTACCATGACTTGCTTTGAGAACGTGTCTGATATTGGTACACTTTTCCTCTTTCGTTTTTATAAACGTATGTCTCTTTATTTCTTTGCTGTATATTCTGAAAGCCTCGAATCCTACCAGTAAGTAGTCAGCATCCCAAATGTTTCATGTCTGTATGTAGTTTCGATGTTAAACTTGTCAAATGATATTTCCGGCGCTTGCTTACAAAATTTACGATATATAGTGATACCCTTTTCGAACTTGAAAACAAAAAAAGAAAGAAATTTAGAACAAAAAGAAAAGAGAATACTCCTCAGTCTACAACTTGCATGGAATCATTTAAACTGGATGGCTTTCTATAATATTTACTATTTTGGCACTTACATTTTGGATTTCGATTCGATTGCTTATGATTTTAAATTTAGTCACGTGTGATTCGAAACACGTGTGAATACCAATATCACTCACGAGATATTCCGAAGAATACATCTTCAAATTTAATTCCCTACAATTTCAGTGCTGACTTGAGAAAAGATGAAAAAAGAGATGCACTATGTATCGTAAGTTCTGACGGAAATATATCCTGGATTCCCCAGGGAATCTACATGAGCACGTGCGATATTGACGTCATGACTTTTCCATTTGATAAACAATCGTGTTCTTTAAAATTTGGATCTTGGACTCATGATGGAACAAAATTAGATTTTATGTTCGACGGTCCAGAGCGTATGGAAGCTGAGGATTATTTTGTACCAAACAAAGCATGGACTGTTATTGACGTACCTGCAAAAAGGAACGTCATTCAGTATGCGTGCTGCCCGGAAGTGTATATTGATTTGACGTATACAATAGAGTTCAGAAGATCTGCAACATTCTACACATATATCTTAATCTTACCATGTGTACTTTTGACGTCTCTAACTTTGGTATTATACTGGATTCCACCGGAATCGCCTACGAAAATGGCGTTAGGTAAGACTTCGTTACATATTACACCAACGTTTCTCAATTCTTGTAATATTTATCTTGTTATCTTGCTTCAAATCTTTAAACAAGATATTGCTAAATGTTGTTTGTTTTTTGCATTAAGTAATGGTATCATAATAATCGAGTTATAGCCGCCATGAAAAAGAAATAATTAGGTCATACATATACATGTTTGGGGAGCAATAATCGATCGCAAATATCTTCGGACCGATGAATATGTTCCAAATATTTTCCTTGCAATGTATTGAACAATTATTATAAATATAAATTCACTAGGATAAATATTTTTCAAAACCATTATTTTTTATTCATTTCAATAAATAAAGAAATTGATAAACTTTGTGTAACAGATAGTGATTTATCAATTGTTTGTATTTATGTTAGATGTTTTTTTTATAACGACTACGCTTTAAAACTTGTAGACTAAACGATTTCATATTTTGTTGCTTTTTCTACTACGTATTTTCATATTACTTGTAGGCATGAGTATATTCATGGCTTTCTTCGTCTTGCTGTTGATGTTTGAAAGAAATATGCCACCTGCCTCAGAAAATGTACCGATTCTAGGTAAACACGATCACCTCCTATTTTTTTTATAAATAGATATTAAACTTAATGCTCGTTATTGATAGATCCCTATACTGACCTTTAAGATGAATAACAATAGGTTTAACCACAAATAAGGACATGATGTGCTTTTTTGTTAACAAACATGATGTGGTGAACATCTCATTGTATCCACTAGTAGGTCCGGAATATGCATTATATTTAATGTAAGACCTTTGTCATTTGTAAACAGTCACATCAGCAAACAATGCGTGGGTGTGATCAGGCTCTCCTCTAGCTTTATTCTACTATTATTGACATGCCTGAACATTATATAATATGAGTAATACCCGTTCATGGCCAACAATGGATGATTTCCATACATTAAAAATCAATTAAAACCTCCCCTGAAATGTATTGTTTCATACTAAATTCAAACATTGTAATGATATGCCTTTATTCATTCACTGAATATCATTAGATCTATGCAAAATAATTTCCCAAATACTAATATAAGTACCATGACTACCATTTTTAAGGGTTATTTCGTATGCAATATTGATGCTACACGCATCAAGGCTTTTTGTGATGCTTTAAGTCAAAGCTCCAAACATTGCAAGCTTACATTTCAGTGTTGGTACCTATAATTCCAGTACCAGACACGCGGAAGTTTCACATGATAGAGACTCTGTTTATTCTCGGGCTGTATGCTTAAAATATAGAACATCCATTGTGTTTGACGTATTAAACTCGCATCACGCAGACACTTCATTTCACTAATTTGAAATATGGGAAGAAGGCAAGCAGATAAGCAATAAAGCTGTCGATATATCATTTTACCTACATTCTGTATTGTTATTAATGTAATTACTAGTGGCGTTATTGAAGTAATCACGATACCTCGACCATTATGAGAAGCGATGGCTCATGGATTCTGATGATATTCCTAATCTATGAAACAAATTTGTATTTCGTGTACAAACTTGGCAATGTGCAAGGGACCTCTTTTGTAACACATATGGTTTACCGAGTCTGCAATTGTTATGTAATTTTGCAGTTTTTAATCCTTCCGACGGATCACTTTTTCCAGATATTTTAATAATGCCTGCAGTATGATAACATGTTTAGATACGTTCATCCTTGTGTACTCAAAACAACATGCATATAATCATTATGCCGATTATATGTGTAATATTATATACCATGTGTTTAGAAAATCGTTATTTAACTGTTAATGCTTTGAAAAGTATTTCATTAAATAATGTACACAAAATTGCAGATAATGTTTAATACTGGCAATATTATCAAAACCGCTACACTGAACACAATTTCTGTAAATAGAATCTCTAGAAAACGTCCAAAACAACAATATGAATATGTCGCAGACTCGGTTTGATTTAGCCTGTTCATGGACGAAACTGAAAAGTGCAATTAGCCGTTCATGCCCCCTAGCACCGTTTAACTTCAGGGAACTTTAAATTAAGGTAGTTTCAATGTCTTTGTTTTGATGTAATGAAGTATGTGTATATATTTCAGGAACTTATTACTGTCTAAACATGATCCTAATTACAACGTCAACATTCCTCAACGTTTTTGTGGTTAACCTCTCGTTTTATGGATCACGAGCACCTGTTCCAAAAGCTTTGAAAAAGGTGAGAATAAAACATGTTAACTTCGTCTCTTTAGACTATGGTACTATCACATAAAGATTGGAATGTAGGCAGTCAGTGGTAAAACTTAAAATTTATCAATGACTAGTTTGCTCTCGAATCTCCTTACACATTTTCAATTCCTTTATTTCTCATATAAGACCTTAGAGTGAAATGGGTTCACTTTTTTACTGCTGTTATCTTGATTCGTCATGAACAGCATAGTACATGTTTCATGATGTAAGTGCATATATTGACATCAATTTTACCGACGAATGTTATGCAAATGACGTCAGGTTACGAATAAAAACTTCACCGACTTCTATTTTATATTGTTTTGAAATGCAATAGCGAAATAAGATTTATTCACGATTCCTTACAAGTACATATACAATTTGATGTACTCATTGTATATTAATGTTTTCGTTAATGGAATAGACTGTTTTCTATTTTAATGTCATGACTTTAAGGCAAATGTCTGAAGAGGTTCATTAATATTGCAAACACATTTATACATTACTACACAGATAAATCAATGACAATGTCCGAGCGACACCGATATTAAAGTACATGTAACGTTTTCTTTGAATATGAAGCTAGTGAAAGTTTTATTAAGTTGATTTAAATTATCTTATATATGCAACTGAAGCACGCCAAGTTCACTTGCATGATCGAGTCAGACGTTTATTAAAAAATATGTGCCAAAGACTAATGTTTGTAGCATCTATTTATGCCATAATTATCAATATACTGACACAATAAAGATTTGAATTAAAGGACAAAGTAGTTATCATAATAAAATAACTCTTTGAAGCAAGAAATATTCGAACAGAATTTGATAAAACAATTGTTCCCCCAGAAAGATACCTTGTCGTTTAAAGGATACAATTTTGTACAAAAAACTTTCATTGTGTTTTAGGAAAATGGTATTGTTATATCGTTTTAGGTTATGTTCCAATTCTTTGCGAAGATCATGTGTATGGACAACCTTGTAAGACCCTTCTTGGAGGCAGATAAGAAACGCCTTATACCGCCGGCTATTCCCGGGTTTGGCCTAGCAAATGGTGGCGAAAACAAATGGCCGAAGAATTGGAAAGGATCTACAGATATTTTGTTACAAAGAAAAGATGAAATTGAAGCTGACCCTCAGTTGGCTGAAATAGACATTAAACTTACGGAAATAAGAGATTTCATAAATATTTACACGGACAGACTTTCAGACAAAGACCGGAAAGAAAAGATTGCTAAAGAATGGAAAGCGGTTGGGTTAATATTCGATCGGATATTTTTCTGGATTTTTCTGTTGACAATATGCACTTCCCTGACGGTAGTGCTGGCGGTTATATTTATGAGTTCCTGATATTGATCGGGTTAGTTGATCTATGTGCTCAGTGTCACATAACGGAAAGAAATATTCAGATAATTGTTGGGAGAGAAGACCCGGAATAACTTACCTTGACCTTTTTTTAACAGCTTTGATTTTTAAGACATTAATGTGGTGTTAGGTTTGATTTCTTTGTAATGGTCAGATTATTATATGAACAAACTTTACCTGTTTGCCATCTCAAAAGGTTTCTTGATATTTTAAAATCTACGAAATTTCGAGATAGAGTTCATTGAATGTGTACTAACTCTTCCTTTTATAGCTTTCTATATATAGCATTTCTCGTGTCTATAAATAGCTGTTCTATAATTAGCCATACCTATGATCTTTCGTTGTCTTGCTTATTCGTTCGGATACAAGCAACGTCTATCTATTTCACATTCACTCTCACTGTAAAAATGCATTTTATAGTTTTTTCTATCTTGTTGGTATTAACGTGTCGTTTTCTTTACTCACCTATCTATAGACGGCTAGTGTGCATGGTTCACTTAGAACATAATCTTTTGTTATTTTGATTAAACAAACAAAACTATTATTAAGTCTGAAAAGTAGTTTAGATATATTTTGAAAGCATATAACTTCGTTACGATATAACTCTTCGGCAAAGGTTTAATATTCATAATATCAGACGAATTGTTACTATGAGAAATTATTTGTCTAGTCTAGTCGGCGAAAACTTAGGCGCCTTTGTTGGATTGACGAAGTATAAGTGATACTTTAGTATCAGTGCAAATAAATCACTGGTTACTAAGTTACAAAGATTTTTTTTCGGGTGCTATTTTGCTATATTTTTATTTTTACGGATTGTTATTTTTACTTTTTGTTTTGTTTTAACGACATATCTTGCATTTTTATTTTTAAATATACGTATATTCATCTATATCCTTGATACGGCCCGCTACAAGTTTGCTTTTTACCTTCTTTATCTGAAATAATATGTACCTTTTCCCTCAGCCACTAGTCATCTTTGCCTTCTTTCTATCTAGATAAAATTATATACAATTAAACGAAATGATTTCTTAAAGTAGAAAAAATAACTATTTAAAAAAAATCAGCGGTAGGTACCTGTCTTTAAAAATTCGTCGCTAAAGTAGGTATAGCATTTAGTAGTATTAAAATTGATCATTTAAGTGTGACATTTACGTAATATTTTACGTATAACATAACATTTAGCTGTGAAATATAGGTGTGATATTTAGGTCTGACGTTTAAGTGTGACATTTAGTACCTAGGTACTGCTAACCCATCACCGAAAACAAAAAGAAAGCCTCACACAAAACAATGTGGAGGTGCCTTATTTACCAGGGCCCATGCTCATCAACGTTTAAATGCTTGATTTTCTAAATTCATTCACATTTATAATCATTATATTCAAAATTTCAACTAAAACATTGCAAAAGATTTATATGTATTTTTTTAATATCTTTTTTGTTTTCCTGGTTTGCAGCGATCTTTAAAAGATATATGTTACATGTTTAGGCCTTGGTCCTTTATTTGTACTTGACAATTAATGTCTCAGGTTTTTTTTTTGGTCTTTAAACGTTGATGAAAATAGGCGTTGATTGAGATATTGTGTTCAACTGGCTATATGTCCGATACATGTTAAACTTGTTCTTAATCCTGTTGTCTACTGTTTATGTAAACAAGTAAACATGTAAACTTTTCTCTTACATATAATTTTCTAAATGTAAGTATGCAAAATAGCTTGCAATGGCCTGTTGTTTACATGAAAGGAATCAAAAACATATGTTCAACTTTTATAAGCTTCTGTGTATTATATGTATTAAGTAACTATTTTTCAAAAAAAAAGAAATATAAAACAGTTCTTTTAGAGAATTAACGATCAACGCTTTCCTTGCATGGTTTTGACCTCGATACAAAATATAGATAATAGGGAAGGGTGATGGCATATCATGTATGCAAACAAAACAAAAATTCTAAATTATGCCAATGATTGCGTATGCTTAGCATTAATGCATATCAAGCTAAGAGGTTATTTAAAGACATTATTTTTTATACTGCGGAGCGGGAAGGAATGTTGTAAGCTTTTGAGGGGTTTCGGCATTGTTAATGAATAATGTCGGTGTTGATTTGATGAAGATCGTTAGTTCTATATCTAAAATGAATATTTTGATAAATACCAATGTCAAAAACTGTTGAGCTATAAGTAAACTTATATAAGAGATCAAGCAAAATAAACAATGAATTCATTTAGTTATTTGAGCAAACGTATCATATTACAATCTAGGAAGAATGAAATTTGCTTGATATATTAAAACAAAATAATTCCTAAAGTATTAATTAACCTGAACTATGAGAGAATATATGTATTATTCGAAATATAATGAATCAATTAAATTATTTCAAAGATGAAACATTAGAAAATTTTCTTAGAATATAAAGAGACAATCCGGAATAAAACTATACATATATTTATTCCTATATTGGACAATTACAAAGCCTATATCGAATGCACGTTTAATAACTTCAAATGTAAGATATATAGTAAATATCTATTAACTTAATAAAGAGTTAAAACGGAACATAATTCCGACAATTCGGATCATTTCATTTACATTTAATTTGAAGGGATAGTATGTACATGTATTTTCATGAGTAACGGCCGGCCTACAGTGTATGCCTTTCAAAACCTGATTTTATTTATATTTAGCGTATCAGTAGTTAACATTTTGAAAATTGCATACTTCGATATAAATCCCTATTTTCTTTTTTTCATTTTTTATATTCAAATTTTAATTATGTGTTTCTTTACTTCTAACCCCCTTTGCGTTTTTGTCATGTCCTTTATAGAATGATAACAAGTTTAGGTAAATCACTTGTGTTTGTTTATTAGTCACGTGTCTGATTTGTCACGTGTTTGATGTGTCACATGTTAATGTTAATAAGTGTATGTGTTAATGTGTACGTAGATGTAGTTCTAAAATTCATAATGGTGGCGCATAAAAGCCGTATCACGTGCGGGTTAGAGAAAAAAATCAAAATGGCGGAAATCAGTCACCATAGTTCATTCATAATTGAAGTATTTCAATGTTAAGTATTGTTGTGAGAAATTTTAGAATTTGATATCATATTAGAGCATGGTTTGAGAGAATATTTTGATTTTACTAAATATTGAAAGATGTAGATAAATGCATGTAAAGAAAGTGTTTGAAAACATTTTTTCTTGCTTTATTTTTGAATGGATTACAATTATTTTTTTTTAATTTTTGAAAAAAATAATCCCTCTTCTTTCATTTTCTTTTCAGTAAACTAGCAGCCTAATCTAATTGTTATTCTACCAACTGTTCAAATAAAACGATGCTTTACAAATGAAGTATTATTATACAAAGGGCAAATGCCAATGTTTATTGTGTTAGCAGTATTAGTAAACATAAATTAGATTTAATAATCAATGTTACAGGTATATTATTTGAATATTATTTTTTATTAAATTTTATACCAACATAAACGTAATTATACGAACAATTTGAGAATTGTTCAATTGGGCTTCTAGTTTCTTTCGAGAGCCACCTTTATGGCTGAAAGCCTATCTGTAGATTAATAACTGAAGTTATGGTGTCCTATGATAAACATAGACACAAATACTTATATTATAAGACTTGAAGCCACTTGGATATATTTTTTTTGCAAATCAGTGATTGTTTTCCTTTTAAAATATATAAGTGTATAAATTATGTTTGTTGATTTTGTCTATGCAATGTCAATTTGAAGACAAACGCAAGTAAAGCATCGAATATGATTGTTCTTCCGAATAACAAAGCATTAAGTGATTTGTACGGATGCACACACAATATAAACGAACATTTCTTGCAATTTTACTGATGCGCAAGAAAATAAAATTCACATTTTAATTGTTTTCTTTATCCTGTTTTAATTATTTTATAAAGAAAATATACGTTTTGAATATATTAGTTTATGTTATTTATTTTAAATTTACAACGATTGCAGTGTGTTGTTTCAGCACTTTTATAACTTTAAATTTTTCCCGAGTGAATGTAGCTTTGTAGATATTTTTACATTAAATAAGAAAAACACCGAATACGTTTTTTTACCTTGGAATCATATGTAAATATAGAGTCAAATACACAAACACAACTTATAATTTTACTTCTTTTCTAGAACATTCAGGGATAAAACAATTATAACATTTAGCGGAAAAAATGTTTTATTACAATGATTTTTGTGGTTTTGCTAAAACAGTGACGCCTAAATTTGATGAAATCAGGTGTCAATAATTTTCGTTCCTCCTTCATTATTGTAATTAATTAGACATACATTTTAAAGGTCAAAAATGGTATAATGTCAGTTGTCAAAATTATAGGAAGGAAAACTCTAATAATTGACAATAATACGAGTTTTTAATCGTTTTTGTTTATTTTAAAGTCTTAGAGTATTTATGTTTAAACCATGACAATATAAATATCCATTAGTTTGTAGATCTATATTAGTGTATATCAGATGTTTTCTCTTCATGAAATCATACTTGTTTTTAAAAGATTGTACATAAATTATAGTTGTATCATTCAAATTACACATTTCGATGTTAAGTGTCTTTAGTGTTCGTTAATTAACACCTGGATTATCATATTAACATATGCCAACGGCATAAGAAATAAATTCCTAAAATGATCTAACGTTACATTGGCAATAAGCATACGTTTATTGCAACAACAACAAATTAACATATTTATTTGATTGGTATGTAATGAAATAATGTAGCATGTATCAAATTTGCAAAGTCTTTCATTCTGCTGATATAGATATAGTTCTCAACTTTCAAAATGAACCATGCCAAATGTGATGGTTAATCAGATGAAGAAAATGTCATGTTTCTTATACGCTTGAATGAACTTTTCTTTACATTATACACTATTGAATAAGTATTTGATGCAACAAAAATTGATCACTGAATGTATGTTATACATTCTAGCTTGCCCAACCAAAATGTTTATTATCTCTCTTTGCGAAATGTATGAAGCGTTGTTAATTATTCGGCAGGAACACACATTCAAAGATTGTAAATTATTTCATGCTTTCCAGTGTTTTATTGTAATATATCAGATGATTATATTCTGATAAACCACTAGTGATATTTATAAAATATAATTTTCACAGTAGCCGGACTATATCTGAATGCAGATGAAAATAAAATCATAACGAAATGGAATAACAGGCAGATATAAATGCCGTCACACGTAAAGGAAAAGAAATTCGATGACACCATACATCATGTTAAAAATGTGACAAAATTAGAGAAATTTAACAGAATTATGTTTCAAAATTGATGATGTGACGTCATGATGTGATCTGACGTCACAAAGGAGAATGCGCGACGTTACGCGGCAAAATCAGTAAAAAAAATACTTAAAATCACTATAAAAGCATGAAATAAAAAGAAAATTTATTTGTTTTACATATAAGATTTAAATATATTTCATTCGTGAACACCAGCTAGTATATTTTCACTCGTGGCTACGCCACTCGTGAAAATATTGCATCTGGTGTTCACTCAGTGAAATTATATTTTAATCTTACATGCAAAACAAACAAATATCCTCTATGTAACCTAGTTTGTTGAAATATTACTAACTAGTACGAGGACTATAAATGTAATCGTGAATGTATACTAGTAGGCATCAAATGAAATTTAGAAATTAAATAATCATACTTTAAAGGGAGGTTAACTTTTAATATTCATAAATAAATGCTTGTTATTTATTGATTCTGATCGTCATATCCTATTGAAAAACATTAACAATGCAAGTAGAAATAATTGTTATAAAATAGCAAATCACAGTTATGTTGACCTTCCTAACATGTAATCAACTGATTACTGAAATCGTAAAAATGATTCACTGATACATGTTTTACCGTGGAATATTTAAGGCCTAAATTGACATAACCATCTGAATTCATTCCCTTAATGGCCTTTAATTTAATTGAAAAGGAAAACAGGGCAAGACGTGAATTACACCTGACATATATATAATTGAGTCGCGTCACGACAAATAGAGTTGGTAAGTGAACAGCATGGATCCTGATCAGACTGCGCAGGCTGGTCTGGATCCATGCTGGTCGCAAACGCACTATGTTAGTTTTGTCGTGACGCTGCTCATATTACGTTATATTAATCACTATTTGTTGTTGCACAGTCGGGGTACATGACTATAATGTTATGGGTTTTTTAAGATGATATTGTCAATTGCAAAAAGTTGTAATACACTTATTGTTCATAAGTCGTTCACTTTAATTTCTAAAGAAAAAAGGCTAACAACATCCTGAAAGGGATATTCAGGCAAAATAATGACAAAAATTTTAAAATGATCTTATGTACTCAAATCACGCTAAAATGACTCTTCTTGAAGTGTCAGCATGAATTTCTGTTTAAATTCTATATATTTTGGGTTTGAAGCGTAAATATATCTATATATGTTGAACAAAATTTAGACGCCAATAGAATCACCAAATAGTTTTTAAACAAGTCAGGTGACTTGAACAAACCCTTGAAGTTGCAATAACAGATATTATGGATATTGTATGATTGAAACAAGCCTAAGTCATTCATTTGACATGTTCTTTAACGTTTCCAGAGTTCACTTTGACAACTATTGTGAAATGCTAGCGCTCTAACCTGACCCACGCGGGTCAAGTTAGGAAACCACCATTTTATTCTTTATATGGAGAAAAGTTTTGTTCCTTTGACTGCCTAATATATTCATTTTGAGGGCATTTACAGAATAATTAATGAAAAATTCAAAACTAAGAAATGAAAATTTTGCCTGTTGTTTGAATCGTACCAAAATATCAACTACTAAAAATACTCATTTATGAATCTTGATTGCTGTTTATGTTCTCATAGACTTAAATTTTGATTTTCGAATGTTTTGCAAAGCCTTCAATCTTTTTAAAATAGAAGCAAAGAAAATAACTGAATTTCCATCATCAAAAACTTAAAAGAATAATCATTCTATAACTGTTTGAAATTAAATGTTAATTGTCGTGACTTTTTACCAATGATTATATTGTTTTATTCATTTACTTGCACTGTGGTAAACTGCAAAAGTACACCTGTTGACTAAAAACATCTTTCCATTTTTTACATTTTCTTAAGAACTTAGCATTACAAAGTGTTTAGCAATGGTTTTGCAGTGCTTATAGTTTTTGATTAATTGATAATAAAAGGCTTTATAATTCTTATACAAAAAATGTAAGTTTTTATTTTACTGTTTAAGTTGAAATTTTATTTCAAAAATTGTGTTTTTGTTTAAACATATGTAAACTTTGTAACTCAGATTTAATCAAGGGATTTGTCTTTACACAAACATATCAAACATTATGACATTCTCTCAATAACGCTTTGATTTAATTTAGATATAAAAACATTGAAATTTACAGAAACTAATATTTTATAATATCATTAAAAGCAAATTTGATTACTGATATAAATGGCATATCTAGAAATACATAACATTACATCATCCGTGACGTCAGAAATATAAGATAATATTTATTAACATTGTCAATCGGATAATAAACATATGGTCTGTTTCAAATTTACAAATGGAAGTGTTGCATTGTAGACGAAATAACATAATGTTAAAATGTCGTTTCACGTTCCGTTATATAAGTTTCAAATATATTATTACCTTAGAACTGTCAATAAATGTCTTATTTAGGATTATAAACAGTTTAATTTTAGAAACATATCGTTATATTTCTTATAATATACCTCCAAAGCAGTGATTTTCAAAGCAGATTTTATATTTCATTTTATGTACATAGCTCTGGGTACTAAAGGACGCTTTTGACACACACTATGTGTTGGAATTGTTATCTAAACATGTTAACTTATATATTTGTTATACTTTTTGTTATTTAGCGTAAGTGTGTTGCGTTATAGAAATGTTTGATTATTTTAGAAATTATAAATTGTTGAAAAGTGGTTGAGTTTTTTTTCCGGGTTATTTTGTAAAATTCATTTAATATCAGGAATGTATGCATTTTGAATTCTATGTATGTTTCACGTGTTAGATATCACATCTTTGCAATATTGGTACCCGGTTAAAGCACTTTCACCAAAATTGTGGTAGTAAAATCATTGCAAACATGTGATAAATATAAGCAAATAAACTCATGTCACTCAAATTAGTCTTTGTTTATCATAATGTTGTGTTGTGTCCTAAATTTGTATAAAATACTAATATACCATATTCTCCATGTTTTTTTAAATGCCTTTGAATATTCCATAGCATACATGATAATATCAAAATTTAAGGCAGAAAATCTTACCTACAAAAAACGGACAGTAAACAATTCGAGACAAGTCTTAGAATAAATCAAAATGTGTTGAACGATAGCCAATAAGCTTACATTTTGCATAATTATAAAAAACAATACAGACCCATACATTTACTTTAACATGTTTTTTACTTATGATTGAAAGTTTTTTATACATAACGCTGCTAGTTTTAATGATAACTGGTATTTTGTTCACACTGTATACAGATGTCATTTCTAAAAAAATCAAACATGAAGTATTATAAATATAAAAAAAACTTATATTACGATCGTTAACGTTATTGATTAAATCACTGGGGCAATATTGTGAAAACCGACTGTTGCTTTATATCACTTCATGACGTCATTATTCAGAACAAAGAAAAATTTCAAATTTAATGGCGAAAATAACAGAACAGAACATATAAAACAGAAAAGTTAATTATTGTCTTTTATATTAATATTATTTATTTATTTATATCAATATTAATTATTTATTTATATGTTGCTATGCGCTTGATTATGCTAGTAAAATAATTAAAATCAAAACGGAAACATAAAGATATTGGTACAGGACAATGCTAAGCTCTGAAAGAAACAAATGACAACATAAAGGGAAGAAACACAAGGAAATTCTTTTTTTTTAAATCAAGTCAATCGTGGATTCCTGTTTTTGACATGTGCACACATGTGTTTAGATTATTAGCATTTTTAGGTTCATGCTGTCCCACTTGTTTTCTCGTGACATTTCAATACAAGCTTCAATTTATATAAGATATGGGTAACTATATCATAATATATATGACTGCAATTCTTCAAAAGTCAATTGCAGAATTGAAACACATTTTGTTATAAGTGAATCGTGTTTTTAAATCAATTTTAATCTTACTTTATGACCTTGCCAGAAATGTCAAATCTCTTTGAAATTTACAGTCTGTATTTAAAAGTTTTTATAGTACAAACAGCAGCTGTATATAATTTCAATAAATCCAAGATAGTTTCTGTAAATCTTATCAGTACTAAATAGTATTATGTAAAAGCATATTCATTAGTTCGTCCATATTTGCTGGAAGGAATCTTATTTTATCCGTCTGTTCTTTAAGTAAGCTTTAATGCTCAATTAGCTAGACCACTCTTATTTAAATTGAAAAAGCATGGGCTACTTTCTGAGACAAATTACGTAGAACATGACGTCATTTGTTTATTTTAATTTCAGCGCTGATACACGTTTACAAGAAAGGAGGGACGCGTTATGTATAGTCAGCCATGATGGTAATATAAGTTGGATCCCGCAGGGCATTTACATGAGCACGTGTAATATAGACGTCACAACATTCCCTTTTGATAAGCAGAATTGTTCAATGAAGTTTGGATCATGGACACATGGTGGAAGCAGACTAAATCTTAACTTTCTAGATGGTGATAATAAAATGCTTACAGACGATTACTTTGTTGCAAATAAAGCTTGGGTTGTTCTGGAAGCTCCGGGCCAACGAAATACTTATAAATACGCGTGTTGCGAGGAACAATTTGAAGACCTCACATATACTCTAATATTCAGGCGTTCAGCGACAAACTATGTGTATATCTTAATTTTACCATGTGTTCTGTTAACAACATTGACACTTGTGTTGTATTGGATACCGCCTGAGTCGCCTACAAAAATGAGTTTAGGTAGGTACAATATATCAAATTCAGATGTGGAAAAAAACTTGATATAGCGATGTGATATAACGGAAACCCCAATTATTATAACTCAAAATGCCAATTAAATGCTTGAAGGTATAATCATCTTAATGCATTACTTCCGCTTCGAAGACTATTCAAATAGGCTAGAACTACTAACTAGAACTAACTTAGGGTTGTAAGTTCAATCCGACATGGGTTAAAAAAATTCTTTTTGTTTCTTTTAACATT